GAAAGCTGCGATCTGGAGGTGCCGCAGCGTAGCTCAACACATAACCCATGTGCTAGCGGACAACGGGTTTGTTAGAGCAAATTTGAGCAGTTGGTGGGTGTACAGCTTATAACTAGCCCCTGCCTGACCTTAAGCGAATTCAGCCAGGCAGTAGACTGTATGGTGTCGGATGTTTGAGGCTGCACTCCGGTCCGCACCCCTGGCTACTTCAATGCTTGGGGTTAGGGTTGTTTGGAATAAAAGGAACAAGATAGATCCTGGAATCCCTGCGGTACTATCGCTAGGCTATGCTTCGCAGGGCCAGGGTGCGCTCTGTGTTACTCCGGTGGACGTATTCCGCTTCATAGAGTCCGCATTGCTGAACTGGCTCCAGAAGCACTGTTCCGAGATCATACGCTCCCCTAGGGTCGACAGCTCCATTATATTCTCCATTAAGCCTTACCGGACGCGGTCGAATCTCCGGCAATTAAAAATAATGTGCTCGGAAGTTTCCTCGACGCCGCATTCTGGGCAGTTGCGGTCATCATCGTGGCCGAACCTGGTTAGGTAACTTCTAAAACACCCATGACCGCTTAGGATCCGGGTCAGCCAGAAGTTAACCTCGCCATGACGTCTTAGAGTCCATCTGGTCACATCCGGGATTATCCTGTGGGTCCATCGCCCCTTCGTCGACTGCTGCCACCGACGCTGCCACCTTTCCAAGCTATGAGCTCTGGCGTTGGCTTTTATGGCTCGCCTCTGAGCAGTGCTGCACTCTTCTCCGATCTGCTTAATCTCGTCGTAGATCTCCTTTGGAACACGAAGTGTGTACACGTATATATGTATATATATAATAAACTTTTTAGTTTCTTTAATCATCTGGGTAAAGAAGGATTTTAGACGGTGGTTGACCGGTTGTGTTATGATTAGTCTTATTCGTATTAGTCTATTCTCAGTTTTGATAATTCTAATTTCTTCATTTATGGTTTTATAAAGGCGTTCTGTCAGCTATTCCTGTTTTACTTGTGGTAATATCTATTTGTATGTCTCCGATGTTTAGCCAAATTTTTAAAGAAGTGCTTTTAAGCGCGGTCTTTGTCTGGTTTACTTTTCTTTGATTTTCCCATGTCGTTAAAAATTCTAGTAAGAGTTCGTTTTGCCTCTAACCAATCTCTACTGTTTTTTTAATAAGTGAATTTAGTGAGTTATTTCGAAAACTAGTTTTGTTGGTCTATGTTCTGTCTTTGCAAGGTTACCGATTTCTCAATCATAGATAATGTTTTGAATTAGTTTATAATAATCCGAAGAATAGTTAGTTTCTTTAAATAATCGTATCATTTTTCAATACCAGGGTGTTACAATTTAGAAGTTTGAGTAATAATAAATTCTTTAAATTCAGGATAAGATTATGTCTTTTAACTTTATGATACTTTTCAGAATTTTCATGGTACTGTGTGGGTTAATGGTTTCTCGATATTCTTTTTGAAAAACTAAAAAGTCTTTATCGTTCCCAGGTAAATAACATTGTTATTACTTAAGAAGTATTTAAAAAGGATGTCTATTGTCTTTGTCAGGGTCATGTCAGTGTATTTAATGGTCAGTTTTGTTTTGGAAAAGTATTTCGTTTTCTCTACTTGCTCAACGCTATCTTTAATAAATTCAATTTGTCTTGCAAAATAGTTTATTGGTTTATATGTAATTTCAATGTAGGTTTTGTTGCTTTCTGATGAACTGTGTATTGTTGCTGCTGTTGAAATATTTTCTTTTTCGCCTACCATGTTTTCTTCAATATTGCCGCGAGATAAAGCGTCTGCTACATGGTTAAGTTTATCTTCTAAATATTTGATTTTGAAATTATATTCACTAAGTCTAGTTCACCAACGTTGTAGTTTCATGTTAGGTTCTTTAATATTATTTAGCCAAGCAAGTAGTTTGTGATTGCTCAAAATCTGAAAGGGGACTCCATATAGATATGGGCGGAAATATTTGGTTGCCCAAACGATTGCTAGTAGTTCTTTTTCAATAGCGCTATAATTTTGTTCATGATCATTTAATTTTCTGCTTGCAAAGCTTACCGGTTTATTTTCTTGCTAGCGTCAGTAGTGACTTGGAATGTTTTTGTGAAATAAGGGCAAATCAAAATTGGGTCGTTCATTATGAGTGTTTTCAATTTTTTAAATGATATATTGTATTTTTCAGCTCCTTTTTTTAGAAATATTGTCAGAGGTTTTGCAATCTTTGCAAAATCTAGAATGAGACCACGGTAGTATCCGCGTAAGCCTAAGAAAGATTTAATTTCTTTTGTTGTCTGTGTGAGAGAGTGTTTTTTGATTGCTTTAACTTTCTCTTTAATTGGGACTTATTATAAGAAATATATAAATTATAAGAAATTGCTTTAAGAAATTTGTTTGCTTTTTTAAAAATTCGCATTTGTCCAATATGAGTTTAAGATTGGCTTCTTTAAGTTTCTCAAAAACCTTTCTCAGTGAGTCTAGTTGTTCGTTCAGAGATGTTGAATAGATGATCCCATCATCTAAATAAACAAGGCAATTCTTGTTAATGAGATCTTTTAGGACGTAATTCATGCAGCGTTGGAAGGTTGCAGGAACATTTTTTAAGCCAAATGGCATGCGAGTGTACTCATAGTGACCACGTTTGGTCGAAAACGCCGTTTTTGGTATAGACTTAGGGTCCATTTCGATTTGGTGAAAGCCTTTTGCTAAGTCAATCGTAGTAAAATACTGACATTTTTCTAATTTGCCTATTTATCTAATTTGGTATTTCGTCCATATTAGGAATCGGAAATTTATCATTTATTGGTTTTTCATTTAGATTTCGTTAGTCCACGACCAACCTGAATTTGGGAACAATCCATATTAGACTGCATTCAGGGGAGTCACTTTCGCGTATAATACCTTGTCTTAAAATCTACTCAATTTGTTTCTTTCTGATGTAAATTTGTTTTCTTCTAAGAGAGCATTAAACATTTTTGAAGAGTTCCCAATACATGGATTTAGTTCTTTGTGAATGAATCTTTTTTCGTTAATTATTGTTTCGTTCCGAAAGTTGTCTACTAAACCGATATTTTCCATTAGTATTTTTTTGATAGTAGTTTCGGGTGGCGTTTTGACGGTTATGAAGTAAGTCTGAATTCATTGCATTAATTTCTGATCTGATCAAATTGCTGTTGTCTGGTTGGAGGAGGTTGTTTAAAAGGAATTTGATTGTTTACGTTAGTGTTTTGGGTCTGTGTGGACCCATGTTAATGGAATGAAGGGACGAATGAATTGTTGGTTGGGGTGAGTGTTTTTGATTTTATTATTGTTTGTAAGTTTATAGGTGTTAAGTGAATTTGAGTTAAGTCTTGGCTGACTATCGGATTTTATAGACCGTATAGACCTTCTTGTTGGACGGTTTGTCTTAATTTTTGAACGGTTGAAATGTCATGCCTCGCTAAGGCATCGGGGATGCCTTATCGCTAACCTATCGGGGGGTGAGCGTTGAATTGTATTTTTTATAGTAGTTGCCATTGCTTGTGTATAAACCGCTATATTATTTCGGTCATTTTCTAATACTAACTTATTTATAACAGTTGCCTTATCTTCTAATTGTTCGCAAAATAGACGTAAGTTACCTCTAAATGGTGTGCAGTACAACCTTCCTAGTAGTTCCTCCAGAAGCGTCTGAGTCTTAAATTCCGTGATTAGGGCGTCTTTTAAAGTTGTCCATTCGTTGTGCATTCCAAATTGGGAAACCTTTTCCGCATCTCCGACAATTTGAAGTTCGATGGCTCCAAATATGATTGCCTTCGAATGTCGTTCGAAGGGTAAACGTTCAACAGGTATTCGATACTTCTGATAAACGAGTTGAGATTTGATGGGTCTCCAGAGAATTGCGGTACTTGGCGTATTTGCCGAAGTAATTGAGAAAGATTTTCCGCAGTTAACGCCATTTATAATTTATAAGTTATTTTCTTTATAAGTTAGTTTCTGTTCTTGTTCACAGACTGCTACAGAATGTCGAGACTTGTGCGGATACCGATTTTAGTCACTTTAACTGAACCCAAATCACTTTGTTGCGGCCAATTCGCGGGTACAATCAGAAAAGGTTACAAGTTTCCTCTTTTCACTAGATTGTCAAAGGATAACGAGTTTACTAGGACTTTTTTCAGTTGCTACCAACTGCGCCAATAAACTTTTTAGGTGATAGATTTAATACAAAAAATATATATTTTTCTTCTTATTGGATAAGTTTCACTAGAGGACAGTTATGAACTAATTTACAAATGTATTCTTTCGGCCCAGAAAACCTTTTACAGAGGATTAATATAAGCCTTATAAGTTCTACTTAGATTTATATGTCAAGCTTACCGGATCATTAAGTTGTTACCGTTAAGTGTTTGGTGTCTTAAGCGAATGTTATTTATGAGGCTTTTGAAGACTGAAGCTTTCGAAAAGAATGGCTATAGCTGTTTATATGAAGAGTGAATATGTCGACTGCCGAGTCGATCTGGCCATGTCCGTCTGTCCGTCCGTATGAACAACGAGATTTCAGGAACTTTAAAATCTAGTGAGTTACGATTAGGCATGCTGACATACACGCAGCCCAAAGTTGTTAAATGCTGTTGGCATGCCACTCTAACACCTACAAGCCGCCCGAAAATTAATATTAATATAATATAATTTTACTATTTTTCCATTTCTTTATTAGTCTTTTAAATTTCTGTCGATTTGCCAAACATTTTTTGTCACGCCCACAACTGCCCAAAACAGAAACCCCCTTACTTTTGAAGAATGTTTTCATATTTGTTAATTTTATTTGTCAGTCTTAAACATTTCTATCGATTTGTCTAAAAACTTTTTGAACGCCCACACTAACGCGTAAGTGAGTAACAGGTTAGCATTCTCCCTTGGTTGAAGATAATATACATTTAAATGGGTCGAAACCCATTTCATCTACCTGTTACGTAAGACACTTTTATTAATTTTAATTCTAAAATAACATAATTTTTTTTTTTACAGATATTTTACGTATTGATCACTTATGGATATTACCTAATCTGACCAAGCTTTGCCTTAATTGTAACAAAATAGAGACGATTGAAAATATTGATATGTTAACAAACCTTAAAGACTTAAATCTAAGCTTTAATTTTATTGAAAAGATTGAAAATCTTGATACATTAGTAAATTTGGAAGTTCTGTCGTTATTTAACAACAAAATTGAAGCTATTGAGAATATCGATATGTTAAACAAGCTTGTAATTATCAGCCTTGGAAATAATTTAATTGATACTGTTGAAGGTGTGAGTATAAACCAAATCCGCATCAAATGAGTAATCATAAATTAATATATTCAACAGAAACTATGGTAAAAAAACTGTTCCTATGGCAGCAATATATGTCTTTCAACCGATTTTGTGCCTTTAAAGCCGGAATTATAAATTACTTACATAATTTTATGTAGTGAACTAGATTGCCTTAGTATCGGAAACGTTAAAGCTAGTATTTCCTTTCAATTAATTATCTAACAATTTTTCGAAACGAAAAAATTAGTCTCCTCCATAGTAGGAATAGGGTAGATGATCAACAAACTGATCTATAAGACCAAACTTTGACTTCAGCTAAGGATTTAGAACGAATGAGGATGGAAAATGATAAGGAAATATCTAATGGCCAAAAAAAAATGCAAATAGACTTAAGGAGGGTGACGCACTCTACCAAGCTTCCACCGATCGACGACAATCTAGCTGTCAACGATCGGTGACCATGTATCGCTCAGGAGAAAAACCAAAAATGTTCATTAAATATTATGTCATTAAACTAGCACCATCCGACTTTTTATATCCGTTACTCGTTGAGTAAAAGGGTATACTACATTCGTTGAAAGGACAGACGAAAACGTTTCCGACCATATAAAGTATATATATTCTTGATCAGGATCCATAGCCGAGTCGATCTGGCCATGCTCGACTGTCCGTCCGTCTGTTCGTATGAACGCCTCGATGTCAGGAACTACAAAAGCTAGAATGTTGAGATTAAGCATGCAGCTTACAGAGCAGCTCAAGTTTCCAAATACGCTTATAAATGTGCAGAATCCTTCCTTTTTATTCTTCAAGTGGTGCATACTAGCTTTATAGCTAATAAAATACATGAGTATAGTACTTTTAAATCCGCGCAGGAAAGGAAATATTCGAGAGAAAGAATAACAAAACCGTAAAGCTTACACATTACTAATGATGAAATTATTGTACATTATTTTAATTTTTTGGGAATTAAATTTCGCATCGAAAAAATGTCCAGTATTTTTTTATATTGCCCATAATTTTGTACATTTTGTACAAACTCTTAATGAAAAGAGTCTATTCTACAAATATTGGTACAACCCTAAGAAACCAAGTGGTGACTTAATAGATGAACAGGTAATTGTTGCGCCTGTGACAAGGTGATTAATGCGAGCGATCTGTACAAATTCTTCTACCAATATTTTTGAGAATACATAGGTCCTCGGTCTTAGAATCAGTGATCTTTCCCTTCCTTTAATTTTCTAAATATGACATACAGTTATTCATTTACAAACTTTATATCGCACTTACGCATACATTTAAAATCAATGATATAAGAAGATATTCTCACTTTTTTTTAATTCCATATGTACAAATTTTTTGAACAACTTTCTGGAGAATACATAGCTCTTAAAATAAGTGATCTTTCCCTTCCTGTAGTGTTCCATAATTTATCTAAATATTACATACAGTTATTTATTTACAAGTCAATAAACAATTTTATATCGCATTTACGCATAGCATTAAAATCAATGCTACAAGAAAATATAAAGTCGGATTTTTAAATTCAAGCTTGGGAAACTATGAAGCTATAAGAAGGAAATAGATTTTAAAGCAAGATAGAATGCTATAAACGAGTTCTCCGACTACCAGATACCCTTTACTCAGCTAGTGAAAGTGCAACGAGAATATTAATAAAAAATGCGGAACAAAATTTTAAAAAATTTTAAATTTTTTCCAACTTGTGGTCGTTAAAGTTTTTTTTACAGTGAGCGTGGCAAAGCGATAGAAATTTACAAGACTAAAACATTTTTCAAAAATGTGGGCGTGACAGTTTTGGTCGGTTTGTGGGCGTTGGTTTGGGCAAAAATTTGTTTTTTCGCATGCATAACATGTGACGTGAAAGGCTGATCTGGGTTAAAAGGATGAGAAATGCTCTCTTGGGGGGTGACAACGCTTAACTGTTTTCAGGCACTCTGTGTATATGTAGAAGAATGTGGTGTGGGCGGTACCTTTGCATTTTAAAACAGTATGACCTTTTTGTAGACAATTAATACATAAGGAGGTAGACTTTACAAATCTGGGACCTTTGCATTACAGAGAGACGGCCAAACTGTAGTAAATGATCTGCAGCATTGCATTAGTTACAAGTTTACTGAGGCCTGCTGTTGGAGGAGGAACACAAAAATGAGCTATGAATCCGTGGCTTGCCGACAATCGAAGGCTTTGTCGATTCTTCAGCTGATAAATGGTGATATTATCGCTTTAAGATTTTCTCGAAATCTGACCAAAGCGGAAAAGTCTCATAATCGAACTGTTTTCCCATTTTAGTTTGGTCACTGGCTTGACTCTATAAATAAATAGAACATAAATGAACATTACATTCGAAATTTTTGTATCGTCTCCTATCGATAACAGAGAACCACAAATCGACGAAACAGTATCAATAGGGTTTTTTAAGGAGGATGCGGACTGATGCGCTATTTTAAGAAGACTAAACAATGTTGAAAGATTAGATATTCGTTATCGTAAACCTTTTTTTAAACTGGTCACTGCTTTTCGTAATTGCTCTCAAGGACAAAAAGTTCATCAGAGAGACAAAAATGAAATGGTTAAATTGTTCGAGAACTGGAATGCTTCTGAACCAAAGTTTCGAAAAGGCTGATACAATTTTAGAACTCCACTAGATTTTGGCAATACCAAATTCGAAAGTCGCGCACGAGTTCGGGCTACAGAAGCTGATCGCGAAGTTTCGCTGACGCTTATTATCTTCTAGGCAGATAACAGAGACATTATTTTTGCCTTGGCCACTATACGAAGTTCTTCCAACTCGTCGCCAAATTCATCGCCACAATCTATGTCTTATATCTGTTCTTGTAATTGATTTACCTTATGAATTGAAGCATTTAAGTTTTCGAGTCGACATTTTAATTCCTCTAAAATCGGAGAAGCCCCTGGCCTAGTCACTCGTTTAATCGGCGAATGGTTCTGACTTAAAGCTTGGTGTTTAGCTCTTCCAGGAAAGATGTATTTTCTGTTCCTTGGCTCATTTTTTACTAATTATTTTAATTTTTATTTAATAAAAATTATTATGCCCGAAACTACATTTTCTCAAATCAGACCGACAACAAACATTAATACCCTTCGAATCAATAATTCTAAATTTATTTAACCAAAAAAGTGGGTTTTTTTGCGGGGTGTATTTATACCCGTTACTTGTAGAGTAAGATTCGTTGAAAAGTTTGTTACAGACAAAAGGAAACGATTCCGACCATATAAAGTAAATATATTCTTGATCAGGATCAATAGCCGAGTGGCCATGCCCGTCTGTCCATATAAACGCCTCGATCTCAGAAACTACAAAATCTAGAATTTTGCAATTAAGCATGCAGCTTCCAGAGACATAGACGCAAGTTTCTCTAACGCCCACAAACCGCACAAAGCTGCCACGGCCACACTTTTGAAAAATGTGACATTTTTTCATTTTGTTATATATTCTGTAAATTTCTAAAGACTTTTCAAAAAAGACTTTTTGGCCACGCCCACTCAAACGCCAACAAACCGACCAACACTGTCATGCCCACACTTAAAAAATGTAATATTTTTTCACTTTTTAAATTTTTTATAATTTTTTATAATTTTTTTGTTCATTTTTTAATTTAATTTGCAATTCTTACCGATATTCTAGAAAATTATAATTATCCCGATATTCCAGTAGCTGAGTAACGGGTATCTGATAGTCGGGGAACTCGACTATAACATTCTATCTGGTGTTTTTTATTCGTTTACCGAGAACTTGGTGGCAAGAACAATTAATTTATTACATGGTGACGATAAAGAATGCGTGTTCGCTGGACGATTTCCATTTTTAACATAACTTTTTTTTCACACGATCATACTTAGAGCCTAGCTTAAAGAAGGTTGGTAAAGTCGGGGCGAATTTTCCCTTAAACTAACTTACACTAGATATTCAAATTTTTCTTCTTCATACAGGGACAAAAACCCATAAACCCAAAGCCTAGCTTTGTCTTAATGGACCTCAGCTACCTGTGTCTCACACTTGCCTCGTCCCGATCGTCTCGACGTAGCCATCTTGCTCCTTGCTTACCCTCACGGATTCAGTTTCCCCGCATTCTCGATCTCCTTGACTGTCCCGCTTCCAGCGCTCATATAGGCCTCCTTTAACCGTTATTCCTCGACGTCTCCAGGATCTCGGTCCGATGTCCACGGTTTTACCGTTTGCTTGTCCAAAGTCCAGCTTGGTACGCTTACTGTTCTACTGCTGTCGTGCTCTCTATACTCTATACCAGTGATGCCAATATTTTTCAGAAAAAAAGGACAGATTGAGAAAAAAAACGGGAAAAAAGGCTGAAAATTTCAAAGAACAGATTTTCTTTATGATTATTATTTATTTAGTTAACTTTTAATTTAATTTTTTAAATGTTTCGTCCACGACGCATTCGTCCTCAACGTTTGATTCATACGTTGCCATTGTACCAATACGTTTCGGGCATTTTATAGGTGTTTCCTGGTTTCCTGGATACACACTTCATCGGACTTATCAGGCAAAAAGGTTATTTTATTTACTTGGTCAAGCCAGAAATCGCGAAATTTTTGTTTATACCCTTCTGTAGGCATTTTGGCAGAAATCACAAATTGTTGGCTTTTGTATATTATTTTGTTTGCAAAAACTGCTGCGTAGGTCTCGCATCGGGACCTGTAGGTGATAGATTTCCTGTATAGGCTTACATCTGGCTGCGTCATGTCGTGGCTATACAGGCAGTAAAGCAGGGGCCGAGGACACTAACTTATGGAACTCCAGCTGCCATATTATGTTCGGTGGAAAGTGCTGAATGAAAAGGCACAGCGAACCTTCCTTCCAGGTATGATTTAGCAACCCGAAATATGAAGCAGGTAGCGTCTGTTTCATTTTACCATACTGTTTGATACTCGATCAAACGCTTCTGGAATATTCAAGAAGAGGCTGTTGCAATATTCCTTATTGTCGTAAGCAGTCAGAATTTGCTCGACGACCCGATGGGCCTGCTCGA